ATTCATAGATAACAAACTCAACTCGAAATCTTTGGTTTGCATGTAGCAAAATATTCGATTTGAATCTTTCTTTGAATTATTCATTTGTTGTCTGTTCGTAGACGACAAACTCAACTTCAAATATTTTGCACGATTCGAGAGAAATATTTGATTTGAATCTTAATTTGAATTACCCATTTGTTATCGACTCGTAGATGAGAAAATCAACTCGAAATCTTTGGTTCGAATGGAGCATAGTATTTGAATTGAAGATTGGTATGAATTACTCATTTGTTGTCTGTTCGTACATAACAAAATAAGCTTGAAATCTTTGGTTTGAATGAAGCAAAATGTTTAAATGAAATCGTGCTATGAATTGTTCATTAGTCATGTGTTCTTGGATTATCGAATGAAATCGAAATGTTTGCTATGAATCGTGAGAAATATCGGAATATACTGTTGTTCTGTACAATAAATTTGCCACGTGTTGATTGTTCAATGAATGAAATCCGTCTCCTTCTCCGCAATGAAGGAAAGTACTTACATAGAATCATTGTTCGAACTATTGATTTATTATACGTTCAGCGATAAAGAAAACAGCAGAAAGCTCTGCTTTCAATGAGGCGGAATACTTGAATAGGGTTCTATTGCGACTAATTCATTTTTCGAGTGTTCCTTGATCATGGAATCAGCTGGAAATCTTTGCTCTGAACTGAGCAAACCATTTTGAACAAAATATTCCTACGAATTATTCAGTTTTTGTCTATTCATAGGTGACCAAAACCAACTCCAAAACGTTTGTTCCGGTCGAGCAAAATATTTGGGTAGAATGTTGCTATTAGCTTTTCAATTGTTCTCTGTTCGAACATAACAAAATCAACTGCAATCTTTCGGTTCGGATGGAACAAAATATTTGATTTGAGTTGTAGTTTGAACTATATGTTTGTAGACTGTTCCTAGACAACAAAATCATCTTGAAGTCTTTCGTTCGAATGAAGCAAAGTATATGAATAGAATGTTACTGTGAATTATTCATGTGTTGTTGATTCGCAGAGAACAACATGAACTGCAAATCATTGGTTAGAATAGAAGAAAATATTTGAATGGAGTACTCGTATAAATCGTTCATTTGTTGTCTTTCTGTAGATGACAAAGTCAACTACAGATCTTTGTTTTGAATAGAGCAAAATATTTGAACAGTATGTTCCTGTGCATTATTCGTTTATTGTCTTCCGGTAGATAGCGAAATCAACTACAAGTCTTCGGTTCCAATGCAGCAAAATGTTTGAATTGAATATTGCTTTGAGCTGTTCATTTTTTTGTGCATTCGTAGAGAAAAAAAATTAACTGCAAATCTTTGGTTTCCATGGAGCAAAATATTTGAATAGAATGTTCCTGTGCATTATTCATATGCTGCCTCACAGTAGATAACAAAATTAACTACTAGTCGTTGGTTTAAATTGAACAAAATATTTGAATTGAATGTTGGTTTTAATTATTCATTTGCTGTCTCTTGGCAGATAACAAAATCAACTAGAACTTTTTAGTTCGAATAGAGCAAAATGTTTGAGTTGAATTTTGGTTTTAATCATTCATTTGCTGTCTCTTGGCAGATAACAAAATCAACTAGAAGTCTTTGGTTCGAATAGGGCAAAATTTTTGAGTTGAATGTTCCTTTGAACTATTCATTTTTTGTTTGGTCGTAGATAAAAGAATAAACTTCAAATCTTTGGTTCGAGTGAGGTAAAATATTTGATTTGAATCTTATTTTGAATTGTTTATTTCTTGTCTGTTCATCGACAACAAAGTCAACTCGAAATCTTTGGTAGGAATGGATCCAAATACATGAATTCAATGTTTTTGTGAATTATTCATTTTGTTGTCTGTTCGCAGATGACAATATCAACTCCAAAGCTTTTGATTGAATGGAGAAAAATACATTAATACATTGTTCCTGTGAATTATTGATTTGTTCTTTGTTGGCAGATGATAAAGTCAACTCCAAGTCTGTGACTCGGACGGAGCACAATGTTTGAATAGAATGTTCCTGTGAATTATTCATTTTTTGTCTGTTCGTAAATAACAAAATGAACTGCAAGTCTTTGGTTTAAAGAGAGCAAAATATTTGAATTGATGTTGGTATAAATTATTCATTAGTTGTCTTTTCGGAGATAATAAAATCAACTCCATATCTTTGGTTAGAATGGAGGAAAATATTTGAATACAATGTTCAATTGAAGTATTCATTTGTTGTCTGTTCGTAGACAACAAAATCATTTTCAAGTCTTTCGTTCGAATAAAGCAAAATATTTGAATTGATGTTGCTATGAATTATTTATTTATTGTCTGTTCGTAGATAAGAAACTCAACTTCAAGTGTGTGGTTCGAACGCTGAAAAATATTTGAATACAATATTAATTTGAAGTATTCATTCGTTGTCTGTTCGTAGATAAGAAAATCATCTTCAAGTCTTTCGTTCGAATGGAGCAAAATATTTGAATTGATATTGGTTTGAATTAGTCATTTGTTGTCTATTCGTAGATAACAAAATGAACTCTAAGTCTTTGGTTTCAATGGAGCGAAATATACGAATAGACTGTTCTTATGAACTGTTCATTCGTTACCTGCTCATAGATAAGAAAATGAGCTCCAAATCTTTGTTTGGAATATAGCAAAATATTTGAATAGTATTTTACAGCAAATTATTCAGTCGTTATCTGTTAGTAGATAACCAAATCAGCTGGAAGGTTTTGGTTCGAATGGTGCAAAATATTTGAATTGATATTGGTTTAAATCATTCATTTATTGTCTGTCGATAGATAATAAAAGCAACTCGAATGCTTTGATTTGAATGGAGCAAAACTTTTGAATGAAGTTTTTTTACGAATTATTCGTTCAGTATGTGTGCATCTTCATTGAATCAACGCTATACCTTTGCTTTTAACCGAGCTGAACACCTGAATGGTATCTTTGTTTGAACTATTTGTTTGTCATATGTTTGTCGGTAACGAGATGAACTTGCACTCTCTGGTTTGAACGAAGCAGAATAGTTGAATAGAATGCTAGTTTGAATTATTCTTTTGGCACATCTTCGTCAATGATGGAATTAAAATTACATCTTTGCTTCGAATTGAGGAAAATATTTGAAATGAATATTTATATGCATTTTTTATTTGTGATGTATTGCTCGATCATGGAATCAAGTCAGAATATGTGCTTCGAATTGGGCCTAATATGAGACTATCCTGTTCGTCTGTATAATCGATTTGTCGCGTGTGAGTCGATCATGAAGTGAAATCGATTTCTTTCTGTGGAAGGTAGCAAAATACATGAATAGAGTCTTTGTTTGACCTATTGATTTGTTATGTGTTCATCGATAAATAAATCAGCTGGAAGTTTTGCTTCCAATGAAACGAAATACTTGAATAAGATTTTGATGTGAATAGTTCATTCATGGGATGTTCGTTGATCATGAAATCAGCTGCAAAGCGTTGCTCTGAATTGAGCAAAATACTTGAGAAGAATGTTAATTCGAATTAGTCATTTGCTTCGTGGCTGTCGATAACGAAATCAACGCCAAATCTTTGTTTCGAATTGAGCAAAGGATTTGAAAAAAATGTTGGTTTTAATTACTCATTTGTCACATGGCTCTCAATAACGAAATCAACTCTAAATCTTTGCTTCGAATTAAGAAAGGTAGTTGAATAGAATGTTCATATGAATTGTTCATTTTGTCATTTGTTTGTTGATCATGTAACCAAGTCTAAACTGTTTGTTGGAATCGTGCAAAATATTAGAATAGAACCTTTGTTATAACTAATCATTTGGCTTGTGTTGGTGAATCATGAATCAACTGCAAATGTTTGTCTCGAATTCAGGAAAGCATGGGAATTGTATTGTGTTATAATTTTTGCATGATGTGGTCTTCGATCACAGCAGAAATGGATTACGATTGTCTTGAGCTAAGATAAATATTTGAATAGTGTCTTCAGCCATAAAGCAGGTATGTTGTATCAATATATTGTTTTAATGATAACACATTGAGAGAGTGTTGCTAATATTTTATTTCATCAGTCGCACATTCTTCTTTGTGATTATCATGTCGGGTACTTCATGACACTGGAATGGATCATTAATTTTTCTTTATAGAAAACATGGCACAAACGCTCATCAACATCAATAATCAACCATTTCCATACAATTTTATTTTTAACATTGAACATTACTCAGTAGCTAGTTCTTTATCCTCATTTTTTCATGTAGTTAGTTTTATGCTCTCATATTTTTGACTAGTTAGCGTCTTCTTTTTCATATTCTTAACAATTTTTATCTTCATTTCTGTAGTTTCAATAGTTTTCAATTTTAATAAAATTTGCGCATCAAAAATATACATACTTCTTGATTGCCTTCTTTAGAACAACGTAAAATATCTGCAATAATCATGAATAATATACAGTGAATAATAATAATAAAACAGGAACAACGACAAGGAGAAACAAAATATATATATGACTTAGATGCACATGAATTACAGAAATATATCCATTGGTGATAATTCTTCATATTCATCTTGATGTTTTAACGATTTCGAATCAATGTATAAAGTTGAATTTACGATGTTGATATTTCGATATTTAATATTATAAAGCTTTAATATATGTTTTGCCATTGTAATAGTTGTATTAATTGATCGTATGAGTTCATAAATATATCGATTCTGTCGATATCCAATAATCATTTGGTTCATCATTACAGGCACACATAGACGAAGGTTCATTCTGAAATAAAAAGCCAAAAGCAGGTGTAGTATTTATTACCTGATACTCGCCTGGGCTCATAGAATATCTAACACATTGTCGTGCACTTGGAATATGTGAGTTATACATAAATAATATTAATTGTGCTACAGAGAAGCAATCATATGTAAAATATTCAATTAATTTTGAACGACGAGTTGCTGATAAGGTTTTATCATTTTTCGAAAATCGAGGATCTAAGCCTCGGGACCATCGTTGTAATGTTTATTTCTTAGATAAATATTGATGAAATATATATGCGATCAAATCTTGAAGACCCCAGACTTCATTTTTTATTAATTTAATTCGATTAATTGTTTCGGGTGATAGAAATAATGTTGGATCATTAACAGGTGCAGTAATGATTAATGTATCATTATTTGTATCTATAGTATCATCTTTAATTAATAATGAACATTGTAACCATTCATCAAACCAAATTTTAAAAAACAGCTTGACTGTTGTGTAAATAAGAAGGGAAAGGTAAAGAAAAAAGTTGAAATTTTAAAAACAAATTTAATTCAGCAAGTAGTGAACCCCAACAATATAAATGTGAATCGTCACGAAAAATGATAGTGAATAATTTTTGTAATTTATTAAATATGATTGAAGCATAATCGGGTAATAAAATTTACTTCGACAATTAATAATGGAGAAATTTGTTGTGTATCAAGCATAAAAAATATTTGAATCAGAGCCAGATGATTTGTACGATAGTCATACTCTGTATCAAAAATAAAATGATGTGTTGTTTGAGCTATAAGAATCAAATTATCAATTTCTTCGATAGTCATATAGTGATTAATACAATATGTTTTACATTGATGAATTGATCGATATGGTGCAAGTAGTTGTAAGTAAAATTCTTCTAATTAATTCCATCAAAAATAGTATTTTTTTATGGCATACAATATTGAAAAAAAAATCCGAAATATTGAAGAAAATTTAGTAGATTCAAAAGAAAAATGTCCGTAGGCATTCATATGACAACCTTTGATACGAAACAAGCGTCTTATTTTTAGCAATAGATGATTGTGTGCTTGAGTCATACATTATTTCTCTCTTTGTTGATTATAGTTTGAAATGATAAGATAATGAGATAGATGATCATTGAAACTGTCAAGAATAATGTAAATTGTATCAATCAAATGCACAATAGAAATACATTGTGAGATAAGGAATGAGAAAGAAAAAAAACATGTGATGATGCAGCACGTGTTTTTTCCATGTGCATAGGTATTGATGATATCAAAGGACAAAAGAATATTGAGCTATTTTTATTATAATCGATTGTTGGTATTAGAATGCATAAGAATTTGTGAAGCCTATTACTAACTACAGAAAACAACAAGTAACGCTCGTCTGTGTGACTCGCTTAACCCTCGACTGAATATTTCACTGCATCGGTAGTTGTTTATTGCTGCAGACGTTTTGTAAAAGGTAGCATCTGGCGTTTGCAAATGGCTTTGTGCTGGTGTCAACATTAATGTGCACATCTGTGTCGGCGTATACAGTGCTGTTGGTATCATTGTGATACTGCTGGCTATACCATTCGTTCATTTAATCTGTTACTCTATCAGTAACACTCAAAAGAAATCCGCGCGACTCACACTGACACAGCAATATCCTCAGACCACGAAAAAAAAATAGTATATTCGATTTGCAGAGAAAATCAACACACAAAATATATCAGTGTGACTGCAGTAAAGATGCCCTACACTTTTCGCAAACTATACTAATGTCCATTTCAGAGTTAAATGGCCGTGGGCATTTTTTGAATAACTTTAAAACAAAAAGAGAGAAATGAGTCGAGCTTTCAGCACTATCTAGAGTCGATATTACTGCATCTTTTTATAAAGTCCACGAAAAAATCCAGTTGCTTTTCTTATGGGATACAGCATTTGTTTTAAAGATGAACTTAATCCCCTTTGAAAACAACACATTTTCTAAACTATAATATAATAAATAGATAGCCTAGCTTTACCTCTATCGATCAGCGAAAGCCCGAGGTCGATAGCTATTTCTCTTCAAAAGGTATAAAGATTTTACTGAATGCTACTCATCAAAATTTTCCAAAATCTAAGCAATTAACAAACATCTCCTTATACAAATTTTTAGTCGTCTTTCACGTCATGACATGTTTCATTAACCTTTGGAGTTTGTTTTTCTATTAAGAACATTATCAGAATGCATTCATTCGGTTTATTTTATGACAAAGGATCAACATTTTCACTTGATTCAATCCATAGTCTGTGATATGATAGC